AGTTGTAAAGTTCCTTTTTGTCGGTTTTGTTTTTTGTCACTTTGTATGTCCCTCCCCCATAGTATAACCCCTGTTTTCACTGTATTTGATGTTGATATAATTTGTGGGGAGGAAGGGAAAAAACAAATTGTTTAAATAGAGATACAGGTGGACCCATTGCAACAATGAGCTGTACAAGATACTATGTCAAAAAACAAACTTTACAATTTAAGAGGGGGGTTGGAGGGTTTAACTGAGGAGATGGGAGGGAAGGGATGGTAGGGAAAAAACAAAGGAGGAGGCAACAATACTGGATAAGAAATGGACTCATTACTTTACTCATGTAACTGTAACCCCTTTGTACAGTATTTTCATAATAAAAACCTTAATTTAAAAAAAAAAAGAAAATGAACTTTACACCCTGGGGGGAGAAGAGTTGGGGATGTGGGGAGGGAAGGGATGGTAGGGGAAAAACAAAGGAGGAGGAAACAATGCTCAGTAGGAAATGTACTCATTACAATATCTTTACAATGAAATTTATTTTTAAAAAAGAGAAAAAAAGAATACTAGTTGAATGCTGGCTTCAGAAAGGAGGATTGGAAAAAAAATCCCATGGAAAGGAAGAACTCAGTTAAACTTGTTTACTTGGCAAAGGACCAGAGATCATTCACATCCTACAGAACAGCAGCAGAGCCAAGAGGCCTGTCCTGCCAGATCCCATCACTTACTGTTACTGTATAAGCTATTAGGATGGTATGTCTTGGATTAAGGACAGATGAATACGCCAATAGAACTGAATATAGAAGCAGAAACCACTCTTCCACATGTGCGGAAACATGTTTTTTTGCAGATCAGTAGGGAACAATTGCAGTGTTTGATAAATGGCACTGACATGATTAAATATCCACATGGGAAATTGGATGGCTACTGTATGCCATTCACTAATGTCCGACACAGGTGGAGCAACAGCACTGATGTGAAAAACAACAATAGAACTTTAAAACACAATATAGACAATTTCTTCTTTAGAATTTTATGGTAGGGAAGAATTTATTAAGTATGATCCAGAGGATGTAAATAATAAAGGAAAAGAATGAAAAATTGGACCAACTAAAACCTGAAGTATTTAGTTCATTCACAATACCACAAGAAGAAGAAAATTATGTTCTTACCAAGCACAGTGGTGTATGCCTGTAATCTTAGCACTAGGAGAGGTGAAAGTAAGATAATATTGAGTTCAAGGCTATCTTGGGACACGTAATACGATCCTGTCTCAAAAAAAAAAAGACAGAGAAGCAGGAAGGAAGGAGAAAAAGAGAGAGAAAAAAAGAAGAAGGGGTGGGAAGGAGGGAGGAAAGGAACAAAGAGAGAAAGGTAAAGAATGATAGGAACGTAAAACCAGCTCTGTTGGAGGGGTGGGTTGATGATGGTCAGATGGTCAGGAGTAGGGAGTAGGAGTAGGGGTAGGAGTAGGAGTAGGGAGGGCTAATGAAGAGGGAGAATGAGGATTAATATGGTCAGAGCCGTTTATTTGCCTGGATGAAAATAGAATAGTGAAACTTGCTGAAGATGTTTTAAGAAGGGAAAGGGGATGATGGAGAATTAAAAGGGGTGAAGTCGATCAGCATTCATTGTGCAGAGGATTCATGTGTGGAAATATCACAAGAAAAGTTCCTGGTATTACTAATATATGCTACTTTAAAAAGTAAAAAGCAAGCCTCAAATTACAGAAGATGTTTGTACTAACAACTGAAAAATGATTCACTTCTAAGGAACACAAAGAATTTCTACAAATCTCAAAGAAAAAGGAAAATCAGCAAAAGACCTTAGCAAGCATTTTATAATAGAGAAAATGCTAATGACCCATAAACCCATGAAAAGATTCTCATTTCACTAATTATCAGGGAAATAAAACTTTTAAATGACAATAAAGACATCATATAAAAAAAAAGGCATCATGTTGGCTAGTCAGATGTCCCTAATATTGGTGACGATAGGGATTGGGTGAAATGAAAATGTCATTTTTTGTACGGTTTTAAAAATACTGTACAGAGGGGTTACAGTTACATGAGCAAGGTACTGAGTCCATTTCCTATGGAGCATTGTTACCTCCTTTGTTCTTCCCCTACCTTCCCTTCCCTCCCACTTCCACAATGAAAATGTAATTTTTAAAAGAACTAGGAATAAGCAGCCAGCCCTTTACAAATACAAGAATGCTCATAGCATTATACAAGCCCTCCGAAAAAGCAAGCAGCTGAGATGTGAAATGTTCCTCACCATGGTCACAGGTCAGGTATGATTTAGGTGGAATGCAGCATGAGAGATAACATGGATGAACTGCATTTCAGACAACAACCTAGGTGAATCTCAAACACAGGGTTGTGAGAGGGTATCAAAAAGCACAGAGTAGGGGCTGGGAAGGTAGCTCAGTGGTAGGACACTTGCCTTGCATGCCTGAGGCCCTGGGTTCGATTCCCCAGCACCACATAAGCAAAAAAGGAAGAAAGCCAGATGTGGCACTGTGGCTCAAGTGGTAGAGCGCTAGCCTTGAGCTGAAGAGCTGAGGGACAGCGCCCAGGCCCAGAGTTCAGGCCCATGAACAGACCAAAAAAAAAAAAAGCAGCACAGAGGAGTAAGTGAAAAAACACCCACCAATCCAGACACAGACCAGCCTAACAAAGTACCCTACTTATGGATGGTATCATAGGTGGTAAAACCATAAGAAAAGCAAGGGGATGGCCAACATACAATTAAAGACTGTGTGGGAAGGAGGAACTCTCAGGGAGAAAAATGGAAAGCTTATATAGTGCTAGGATGTCTTATTTTACAAATTTGGTAGTGGGCCCATGAGTGTATATTTTCTTATTCTTTAAACGGTATGCCTATATTTTCTATATTTCTTCTATGCATAGTATGTTTCACAATTAAGATGTTGCATATCTGGGACCCTTCGGACTCTGAGTTTGAAATGTCCTAAAATCAAGTCTGATTCAAAGCTGGAAATCAACAGAATTCCATGACAGAGTCCCAGACCTACCTATCCAGATGTGTCCTCATTACTATCTTAGCATCCTCATTTTGCAAATGAGCTCCAGAGAAGGGAGATAACTTTGTCAAAGTCACAGAGCACTTGAGTGGTAGAACTCAGGATTGTAACCTTAATACCCTGGAGCAGGCAAGAATCATGTGCAAGCTCTCATATTTACCATGAGTACCCCAATCTGCATTTGTAAAGCATCTCTAACCTTGTCTGCTCTGTCATTTCCAGTTGCCCAATTATATGGCCTGTTTTTTAAAAATCAATAGACTTTATTTTTTGATTCATACAGTCAAGACTATCCTGGGTGCATCAATTCCCATCAGTTTCATACAGTACACCCTGTGACCGTTCTTGGGTTTTGGTTTGGTTAGGTTTTGTCTTTGAATGCCTGGTTCTGCACAAATTCAAATATATCTGGTCCTGCTTGCTACATACCTCCATCCCATGCTCTCCTCTGTATTCCAGGATCCCTTGAGATTCTTATCAATCTTTACATCCTTTCCACCAAAAACTTCCTCCTGCAGCTTCTGGGAGGGAAATGGAGGAACTGATTGTTCCAGGTTTTCTTATGACCTCTTGGTTTGCTCCCACTGGGAGAGGTGGCCTGGGGGTGGAATTGGCAGGGAAAACAAAGGAGAGAAAAGAAGGGAAAAAACAGGAGCTGTTTCCAATGAGGTTGTAGGCCATGACCCAACAATTGATTTACCACCTGCAGGCTCAGAACAGCAAGTTCTCCTGTTCGGCCTGCTTCTGAAATCAGGCATTGTTTGGTATGATGAATTCTCATGATGTTTGCTGAAATATTTACCCTTCCCCACCTCCCACCAGTGCCATCTCCACCACCCTGCTTCTTCACAGAGGCGGCATCAGGGGCCCTGAGCAAGACTTCACATTGAACTTAAACGTTTAGACACATGGTTAGCACTGAAGGAAGCTCTTCTTGCCAGAGACCCACAAGAGATCATTTCTGAAAAGCTCAGCCTGTATAGAAGTGATCGGAGAGGGCCAAGTTCACTGTCACTCAGGGATTTGGTGGCAGTAAAGTAGCTGCATACCTAGACACTTGTGTCTCTTACTATCCTGCCGTGACCACTGGACCTGCCTTCTCTTCACTCAGCTTGGCCCTTGAAGCCTGCTTCTGGCCCACAAAAGTGAACAAACACTTACAAAATATGTCTGGCATGTACTGGGAAATCTCTCCTGCTTTTGACCTGCTTTCTTTTGCAAAGCAACTTATCTTGTTAATGATGAAGTAATATTTACTGGGTGATGTCACCCAGTTCCTGGTTGGTTCCTTCAATCTACAAGCTTGGAAACTATTTTTCTGATTGCTCCACCACTGATGATTCTTTTCTGAGATAAATTCTTGCTATATAGCTCAGCCTTAAACTCACGGTCTTCGGGCCTCAGCCTCCGTAGTGCTGGGATTACACTCATGTTCTACTATGCCTAATTTCCCATTGTTCATTCTTGAGAATGCTGGACTAGCCAAATCTTCAGAAAACTTGTCAGAAACCATGGAACCTATTTATTAATGTACATAAAAGCTGTAACTCTCTGCTGGAATGATTTCCTGGAATGAAGCCTGGCCAGCTTCTTCCCTCTCAAAGGCAATCTCTGTAGGAGGTCAAGCTACCCATCTCCTGGTAAGTGCAGGCTCTGAGTAAGTGGAGCTGACCACAGAATCAAAGGAGCTTCTCTTCAGCTTCTTTTGATTGTTAACCAGCCCCCTTCCTGACTGACGCTTTCTGGCTTTAGCTGGACCGATAGGTTCAGGAGGCTGCTAGAGTTCTGTTGTCCCTGAGAGCCATTTGTTTCCCTGGAAGAAACAATGCCTTTCTTTTCTGATAATGATGTATAGATTCCTTAAACTAACTCTCTGGCCACTCATAACAAAATCAAACACCAGGGTCCCCCCAGTGAAGCCCTCAGACTGCCCCTACACTCAGTCTACCCTTTCTTTCTTCTTGATTTCCCCAAGTGTGTGGCTGTGGCCTGGCCCAGTCAGGCTTCTTCTTCAAGAACCAGGAGTACATCTGCACCCAGGACTACCAGCAACTCTATGGCACACGCTGTGACAGCTGCCGGGACTTCATCACGGGTGAAGTCATCTCTGCCCTGGGCCGCACCTACCACCCCAAGTGCTTCGTGTGTAGCTTGTGCAGGTGAGTAGGTGGCAGGGTGTGCGGCCTCTCCCTGAGTGACCCTGGGGAAATGGGAAGACATGACTTTCCCTGGGCAGCTCTAGTGCTTATGCTGGAGACCAGGATCTTTGGAACTACAAGAATCAACAGGACAGTGGTTTTCAAACCTTCTAGCAGCAGAGTCCTTTTTGCTATGTGCAGTCCAATGTAAACCACGACTTCGTTCTCTGGTGGAAGCAGAGCGAAGGTCTCAGCCCCATACTCAGCTTCCCATTTCCCACCAAAAAGCCTCCAAAAGTTCCTCCTGGAACTCTGCCCAAGGCTCCTAGACCCCTCAGCCAGAGGTGGTACAAGGATGCCTGTTTGTAGCTTCTCTCCTACTTACAGAATGTCTCTGGCATGTGGCCCCATCTCTGAAAGCCTCAGTTTCCCTATCAATAATGAGAGTCAAAACTACTGCCCCCCTTCACTGGGTTTACACAAAGATCCAGTTGATAATGCATGCCAGGACTTGAGCTCAGTGAGTGGTACTCAGCGCTCGCACTTAGCAGTGTGCCTGTTCTTACTGTTCTTTTCATTATCACTGGAGTCATCCCTCTTCTCTAAGGACTTCCCTGGTGGTGGAGAGCTCAACCCTGCCCAACATTTCAATCCCTTGTTAATTTAGCAAATGTACATTAAGGGTCCATTGCATGCCAAGTATCACATTAAGGAAATGAAAAAAATATGGAAGAAAACTTCAGCCCTGCCCACAAATATGTTAAAATTTATTTGCCAGCTCTGATCAAGTCATAAATAAAGCATGATTGGAATATATATATACATATATGTGTGTATGTATATATAAAGAGTTTATACGTGAATTAGGTTCATTATTATCTCCACAAAATAAACACTGGCTGTTATCAACTAGAGTAACCAACCAAAGAGAGTTTCTTTTTGTAATTTTTTCATTATTGTTTATTAACATCAATTAGTTATAAAGGGACTTTCACTTGAACATACCCACATAAACATGCAATGTATCTGATTAAATTTACCCCTTCCACTACTTTAGGTCATCCCTTTCTGCTTTCCCGAACCAATCTCAACAAGCTTCATTGTTCTGATTGAGACTACTGGCAGTATATGTAAAAATATAACCACTCAGTGGAAATTCATTCATTCATCTGTTTCTTAAAACATGGACACTGAGAGATCAAAAGAAGATACTCTCAAGAAAGAAACACAAAGGTGCAATGCCTACGTGCCTCTTCATATTTATATAAAATAACATCCATATTGAAATGAACTCCAAGATATGGAAACAAGAGACCTCTCCTATTTTCAGTTTTTAGTTTTTATTTTTTGGTGATTCTGTCTTCTTTATCTTATGTATGGTGCATTCAAGTATATACCTTCGGAAGGGTTGGGAGGAGGGTACCGAACTGGAAGGTAAAAGGGTGGAAAAGTGCAGCAGTAGAGCTTGCTGGACACATGAAAGTGAGCCATACAGCTTGTGGGTGGAGATGGGAGGGAGGGACTGGGAGAGAGTTAACAAACAGAAGACACTGTACAAAATGAAATGTACTCATTACCTGACTCATATAATTGTAACCCCTCTGTATATCACCTCCATAATAACAATAAAGTAAAGTAATAATGCAAAACAACTTGGGCACTGGTTCCTGGGATCTCAGACCCATCAGAAATGAGCTCAAATGGTCCATATGGTACAAGATGAGTTGTGTCAAGAGTTAAGATGACTCTCTGAGGTCATGCTATATCTCCATGAGCTAGTGGCTAGGCCACAATGAGGGCTAAGATGTCCAAATCCTTACCCAAGGTTCTCTGCACAGTCTCATGCTGCCAGTACAAGGAAAGCAGACAGACACTGGAAATCTTTGTCAAGTGTTACATCAGAGTGCATATGGCAGGTGTCCCGCACTGCAGGAGCAAACACAGATAAACAATGTAACTGAGGAGTCTGCAGATGGCTTGTAATTTCACTGGAAAGGCAAAGCGGTGTGAGCTTGAGACCTCTGAACTATGGAACTGAACAAGGACAGAGACCAGAGACAGAGGAAAAGATATTTTCCTATGTCTTCCTATTGGGTAAAAGAATTTTGATAAATGAGTAGTGAAAAGAAAGAAATGTTGGTGAGCCTGGGAGTTGAATGAATTTTTTTTGGTCAGTCGTTGGGCTTCAACTCACAGCCTTTTTTTAAAAATGAATTCTTAATATATGAAGAATGGGCAGACTGACAGAAAATTCCTTCAAAGAAGAGGGACTATTTACCTTTCCTTTCTAAGGAATTACACTATTTGAGTTCTCCCTTGAATCTACCAAATTGCAATTAATACATTTGTATACACTTGCATAACACCCAACATGTTTATTTTTAAGTTTATAAGCTAAATCTAGCTTCCACATACAAGGGGAAACATGCATCCTTTGTTTCTGTAGGCCTGATTTACTTCACTTAACATAATTTTTCCCGACTTTCCATTTTTTAAAATGATACAATATCATTGTTTATAATGGATGATGTACACAATTTCATTGTGTAAATATACCACATTTTCTTGACTCATTTGTCCATTGAGGTTACATAACGGCTGATTCTATAACCCTGGCTGTGGTGAATAGTGCTGCAGTGAACATGGTTGCAGGTACTTGAAAGGGGTAGAGTGGGGTCAAAGGGAATGGGTGTAGAGGGATGAAGAGGAGAAGAAGGGGAGTCAATAATTCGATATACATGCTACAAAATTAAGACAAGTGAGGGGAAAGGTAGGGAGGGAAGGGATGAGTAAGAATGCTAAAAGGGGTGACATTGATCAAGGAATTTGTATTCACAAATTATTCATTGTTAAATGACAGCTCCTTTGTACACTACTTAGAGATAATAATAATAGAAGAAGAAGAAGAAGAAAGTGTTTTTTAAAGGTGGAACAGCTCTGTGAGGCGTGAGCCTCTTCTTCCAGCTGAGATGTATAAGTACAGATGCACAGCGTGATTTGCAATGTTTGAGTCAAATAATACAAGCGGCTCATAAGCCTCCAGTGCTGACCTCATGGTCCCTAACTGAGACTCCATTTGGCCACAGTCAGCTGTGGAGAGAGGCAATTGGAAAGCTCCTTCCTTACCTGCCATTCCTTTCAGTGGAATCAGATCATTCTGTGGTACAGAGCAGTTGAACTTGCCGCCTGCCCTAGAAGTCAGAGTGCTGCTCAGAACACATTATCAGGTCAGCAAGAGCAGGCACTGACATTTTCCTTCATCTCTCTTTCAGGAAGCCTTTCCCCATTGGAGACAAGGTGACCTTCAGTGGTAAAGAATGTGTGTGCCAGACATGCTCCCAGTCCATGACCAGCAGTAAGCCCATCAAGATCCGGGGACCAAGCCGTGAGTCCTCTCCCCAGCAGCTCCCTGTTCCAGGTCACTGTCTCCTCAGTTTCTCCTGACCTGGCACAGCCAGCTACTCCTGCAGGCATGGAAGGAAGCAAGACTTCTGAACCATGGCCCAATTGTCATGTTGCTTAGGCACACAAGGTCCACAGCACAGTATAGGGAAGGCAGATTGCCTGATTAGAAGCAGTGAAGGCCTGTGCCTGTATCTGAGCCCTTAGGATGGGTCTCTTCTGGGACAAGCTGAGTTCCTGATCTTATGCCCCAGAGTACCACTCTAGGGTTAACCAAAGATTTGGTCACCAGTAGTTCTAATATTGTGTGTATGTGAGAGAGTCTTGGGTCTTGAACTCGGGGCCTGTGCCCTGTCCCTGAGCTTTCTTTTTTTTTTTTTGGTCCGGTCGTGGGGCCTGAACTCTGGGCCTGGGCGCTGTCCCTCAGCTCTTCAGCTCAAGACTAACGCTCTACCACTTGAGCCACAGTGCCACTTCCAGCTTTTTCCTTTTTTGCTTATGTGGTGCTGAGGAATTGAACCCAGGGCCTCATGCATGCAAGGCAAGCGCTCTACCACTGAGCCACCTTCCCAGCCCCTCCCTGAGCTTTCTTGCTCAAAGCTAGCACTCTGTCTCACTTAAGTTACAGCTCCACTTCTGGGGTATTTTTGTTGTTGTTGTTGTTTTTTATGAGGGGGGGAGGGAAGTTAATTGGAGATAAGAGTCTCACAGACTCTCCTGCCCAGGCTAGTTTGAACCAAGATCTTCAGCTCAGACTTCTGAGTAACAAAGATTACAGGCATGAGCTACCAGTACCCAGCAGTTAGTTCTCAATTTTGATAAAAATCCATTAAGGAAGAATTTGTAGCATGTCTCACAAAAGAGGAAATGGGGAATTCCCTGGGCGCAAACCACAGGCCTTCACAGCACTTGTTAGAGAGTTCCACGGGCCACTTTGTCAGCTTTACTTGCAACACTACAGATTTGGGGGCTTACCTTGAACCTCTGGGGATTTTGAATGTGAGAGCTGATATGGGTAGCAGGCTCCCTGAGTAATTCCCTTGCTATTTCTAAGACTGAGAATGGGGGTGGAGAGGGGTCTGCCATACCATAATAATGTTTGTTATATGTCATCACCAAACCATAGCTTTAAGGGAAAAGTAAAAACCAAGAGTGTGCCTTGGAGCAGTCCTCCTGATCTGAGGAGTCCATTCCACTCAAGCACGCGCAGCGTATAAATCTCTGTTCCCAGATGCCCTTGTGGAGCTGTAGGTAGTGCATGCGCCCACAGACACGCATGCTCAGCCTCCTGGGTCTCCATGAGCCACACTGGGCTCCAGTGATCTTTCGTGTTATATGACACCCTGGCTGGCCCCCATCAAGAGAATCAATGAAAACCCATTAGCAACATAGCACAGGTGCAGGGAGCTGATGACCATGGCACCAGCACAGTCAGCATCCTGAAGCCACATCAAACCAAGGAGGGTGAGCAGAGCCCACCTCTAGTCAGCAGGGCTTGGTTCCCAGGGGCTCCATTAGAGTCTACCCAGCTGTAATCAGCCAAAGGGAGGGACAGCGGAAAGACGCGCTCCTTTGCCTGCCCTTCCTTTCAGTTAAATGGTCTCTGGTCCTGAAATATGCAACGCACTTCCTTCGTGTCTTTGGCCATGCTCAAGAACTATTTTCTTATCTGAAGATATCCAAGGGCACACACTGCTGTCCTGCCTAATTCCTTGAAAACACCTTCCAAATGAGAACCTCTGGCTGATGTTGCAGAAGATCCCAGAGACAATGGGTCCATACGTGAGCAGTGGAGCAAGGCTTGCTGCAATCATCAGACTGTCGACCTTCTGCATGATCCAGTGCAGTACTGTTCCCTCCCTGCTATGAAAGAAGGATGGAATGTCTTATTCTCGCAAGAGTGTTATGGAAAGCAATTATATTAGTCTACAGGAATTAAGCTCAGATACATTGTAGTGTGTAAAATACTCTATTAGTATAAAATGTGGGGTGTTACTAGGATGGAGGTTTAGGGTAGAAAGCATACTGAAGGAGCACTGAGTAAGATTCCTAAATGTGTGGTTTCTCTCAGGTGTGCTGTGTGTTTCTATGTGGGGGGCGCTCTGATAGGTATTAGATTTCCTCAGCTGGGTGAGAGTCTTACATGTGAGCATGCACTCAAAGACGGGCTCTAAATATCCCTGCTTTACTTTTCTTATTAAGAGCTAGAGGAAGGCCAGATGCCTGTGGCTCACACCTGAAATCCTAGCTACTCAGGAAGCTGAGACCTGAGGATCGTAGTTTGAAGCCAGCCCCAAGCAGAAAAGTCTATTAAACTCTTACCCCCAATTAATAACCAAAGAAAAGTTCAAAACGGAGCTTGGCTCAAGAGAGAGCACCATCCTTGAGTTAAAAAAGCTAAGTAAGGCCCTGAGTTCAAGCCTTACTGAAGCACAGAGACAGGCAGACAGACAGACAGACAGACAGACAGACAGACACAGAGCAAGCTAGAAGGGGTGAGGGAAAGTGAGTGAAGGGGAACAAATGAGCATGCCAGCAATCTGCAGGGGTAGAGCTAAGGATTATGGCTTATCTTGCTTATTGCTCACAAATATTAAAGGCATTAATCCATGGGTCCCTGGTGCCTATGTTTCCTAGAAGTTTCCTTCAAGGGTGATCACTGTCTGTACTGCAAAGGCAGAGGGCTTCCTGAGTAGAGAGTATGTTGAATGTCTTTTGTGTTATCAAGGAACAGATGAAAACAAAGTCACTTGAAAAATCACAAAGAAAATTGTATCCTACAAAAGGCAAAGGACAACTGAGTGTGGTGGCACACACCTGTAATTCCAGTGACTTGTGAGACTGAGGCAGGAAGACCACAAGTTCAAGGCCAGACTGGGCTACTTAACAAGATCCTGTATCAAAAAAAAAAAAAAATAGCAGGTGGTTTTTTTAAGCTAGAAGAGGATGAAGTTTATCCCTGAAGGGTGATAGAGATTCTGAAAAAGCAGTGTTTACTCAAAAGAGACTAAAGGGAATATTCAGAAACTATTAGGAGGACAGATCAAGGGGAAAAGAAATTTTTCCCTATAGATCTCACAGAGAAGAATCAAGAGTGGTAGCAGCAGCATCACCAACATCCCATTGTTACCGTCCCAATCATCACCATCACTACCAGCATTATCAGCACCACTGCCAGCATTGGTTATTACTATTTAGGCACTGTACTAAGAATTCCATTCCAAAATATCTCATCTAATCATAGCAACTTGATCTGGGAGATCAGAGTAATTATCTTTTAGAGAAGAAAACTGAGACTCCACGAGCATAAATCACTCCCAGAGTAATACAGATAATAAGACATGAGACCAGCAGTCTGCCCATCTGGACACGGTGATAACACCCTGATACCAGATGTATGACTTGCTAAACTGGGAAGGGCCCCTTCTTCCTGGATACATTGCCTGAAACAATGCAGAGCCCTGACGTGAGTCACAAATCCCATTTATTTTTGCCGACCATAGTGGAAGAAATGACATAGTTAACTAGACTAAAAATGGCTTCCCAGGATCTTCAGAAGCCTCAATAATACCGCAGGGGATTTGGGAGACACAGGTGGTAGTCGTACTTTCTGCCAGCTGAAGATGGTAATTTTGGAAGAGAGAGGAACATATGAGACGTGGACAGCTGGCTATGCAGAGACCCAACTTAGGACAGGGTGTGGTTCCTGACCCTGCTGACCCAGAGGCTCCCCGATGCGATGTGCCATGGCTCCATCAGTGGCTCAGGGTGAAAAGAGAAAGGGGAGAAAAAGATGGAGATAAATATAAACCAGTACAAACAGAAGTCCCATAATGTACTATGGGGAGAAAAAAAACCATATAGAGAGATATCACAAAGTTCTCATAAGGAACAAGCAGGAACTTCCCATAGTGGTAATATTGGTTCTTGCTTCCAGTGAGACTGGACAAAGCATAGGACAGGGGGGAAATAAAAACATGAGAATATGAAATAATAATAGCCACTTATTGGGTATACTCCCATTACTTAGACTAGCCTAACTATAAGAAAGACATTCAGATGAGCAATAGGCCCAGGGCTGCCTCAATTAGTAGGCAAGTGGGAATTCTCTTTCCTCAGTCCATTCTGTAGCCACTGCATTGGGGTAATGCCTAAAAATTTGAACTCAAGGTACAAAATTCATCTCACATAATGTCACTTTAACTTAGAGGGATAGAACTTATTCTGGAATGTGGAAATCTACAAGTATTAAGTTTTATTGAAAGGACAGAGAATTACATTAGCCAGTATCAGTGCCTATCTCTATGGAGCTTGAGAGTGAGCTGGATCTGTGGGCAGTCAGTATCAAGTGATGTATAAGGAATGAAGGGTGGGAGAATGAGACAGAGACAGAGAAACAGAGACAGACACAGAGATAGAAACAAGAGAGGAATGTCAGTGCCTTTGGTTACTTGAAAGAACACAGCTCTGGTGGGAAAGAGCAGATTATTCTTGACTGCATAAGAATAGAGGGAGTTTCAGGATGTCAGGCCTCTGCTCCACATAAAGATGGTGTGACAGCCATCGCTGTCCAGACACACAGTGGACACCCTCAGAAGAGCTGAGCTGCCAGCCCTGGGGTGATTAGGCAGAGGACAGGTGCCCATCTCATTTGTCAAGAATGGAGTAAATGCCTGCACTGGCTGGGATATTTGACCAAATGTTTTGGGAACTGGGAGCCTCTATGGAATTACACAGCCCACAGAGACATAAGGTCGGTATTTGTGACCTGGACAGGTTGACCAGATGCCAATCTATAAATGAAGGAAGGATCTGGTTGTTGTAAGTAATTGTATTCTGCAAACTATAATTATTGAGGAGTGGAGGTACAAGGAGACTTAAGAGGGAATGGAAGTACATAGCCAAACTTGTCATTCTCCCCACCCCCATTTGATGGTCTACGACTTGGAGACCTTAGGCCCACAGCTTGTGTTAAGGGATACTGGAAAGACACTCAACAGCCAAGTGGTAGCAGTCAACTTGTTCAAACACTTCAGCTGGGCCCAGACCCTCCCCACAGCCTGCTGGGCACACACCCCTCCCTAGACAGGTTCCCACAACTTTGTAGGTGGCTTATGTTCTCCCCAATTGCTCCAAATTCTTTATTTATCTTATAGTGGCAACAGAGAGCTTTGTCCTCTAGTAAACTTTGCCCCATGACCCTTTCCTCCTCTAAAGTGGGCCTTCCGGTCAGCAAGGCTTGAATTCCCAGCATCTCCCAAGAACCTTGGATTCTGGCTCCATTTCCTGCCCCTCCCAACATTCATTGAGCAATTGGATACCGCCTTCTGGGTCCACCCCACATTCTGTTGGACTCATGGCATGTTTCAGGATAATAATGACAAAGAGTGAGAGCACATTTCTGGCTTGGGACAGTCTCATCAGACTAATCCTTGCAGCCTGAGGACATTGGCATATAAGCATACTGGGGAAGGATGTGCATGGAATGAATGTTGGATCTCTTTGCCTGAGTACAGTAAGGCCCACTCATTCATATTCCTCAACAAACATGCTTTGAGCTCCTGCCATGTGCCTGGCACCTTGCTAAGTAAGGGAAGAGCGAGCTTTAACCACAAAATACACATGTGGCCCTGGCCATTCAGTATACATTCTAAGAAAAGAACAGACTGGGGGTGTGGCTCAAATGGTAGAGTACCTGCCTAGCAAGCACATAGGCCCTGAGTTCAAACTCTAGTAACTACTGACTGAAAAAGAATAGAGGGGGAAAAGAAATGTGACTATTCCCAGAAGTGGAGCTTCTCAAACTTTACCATGCACAGAGATCTTGTAAAAATTCAGTCATCTGTGGAGCTATGCATTGATAGCCCCAGGTAAGGCAAATGCTATAGGTCCTGAGGTTGCTATAAGTCCTTTAACTTGATTGGCAACTTGAGGAGCAGCCACAAACAGTGCAGGGGTGCTTTGTATGAATACAGGGAGTTCTTTCATCATCATCATCGTCATTGTCATTGTTGTCATCATCATCATCATTTTCCTCTTCCTCCTCCTCCTCCTCCTCCTCCTCCTCCTCCTCCTCCTCCTCCTCCTCTTCCTCCTCCTCCTCCTCCTCCTCCTCCTCCTCCTCCTCCTCCTCCTCCTCCTCCTCCTCCTCCTCCTCCTCCTCTTCCTCCTCTTCTTCCTCCTCCTCCACCACCACCACCACTACACCTGTCCCTTGTCCAGTGGCCTTTCCTCTTACCTCACAGGGTCTCTGGCTGAGCTGCTCATGTCATAGCCGGGGCACCTGTGAAGAGACTTGTGTTCAGGGAGGGAAACGGGATGATGGTGAGATGTTGTATTCAGTGGCATCCTCTTATCTTTACAGACTGTGCTGGGTGCAAGGAAGAAATCAAGCATGGCCAGTCGCTCCTGGCACTGGACAAGCAGTGGCATGTCAGCTGCTTCAAATGCCAGACCTGCAGCGTCATTCTCACCGGGGAGTACATCAGCAAGTAGGTGTCCCTTTCAGGCCTGGCCCTGGCTTCCAAGGCCTCCACACCCTGTGAGGCCTCCCAGGATCTCCAGCATCAGCTATCAGCCATCACACCTGGGCCACTTCAGCCTCTTCCCAGCCCCTTTCCACCTGCAGGCTGTCCTGTGTGGTCTCCTCTGCCACTCTCCACCCTTCTCTTCCTCCTTGTGCCTTCTGCTCACAAGTGGCCTCGAACCATCACTCAGCACCTCCACGCCCCCATGATCAGCCTCCACACTGCCCTGTGTGTTTTTATCACAAGCTTCTCCATGTATAACTATACTTGTGTGTATGTTTCAACTTTTTTTTTGTCTCTGTGCCAGGTGCTAGGGCTTGAACTTGGGGCCAGGGTACTCTCCTTTAGCGTTGAAGCCCAAGGCTGGTGCTTTACCACATGAGCCACACCTTCACTTCCAGCTTTTTGATGGTTAATTAGAGATGAGTCTCTTAGATTTGTCTGCCTGGGCTGGCTTCAAATCATGATCCTCAGATCTCAGCCTTCTATGTAGCTGTGATTATAGGTGTGAGCCAGTGCCCAGCTTCAGCTTTTTAATAATGATAATAATGCTAAATATCATTTTACTGGGCTTTTGTTGTATGCAAGGAACTTACTATCTGATAATCAAATTAAATTCTTTTAAGGTCCCCCTCATGAGGTGTCTTTCCCCATGGGATACTGAGAGTGACTAACTTGCTCTAGGGATGGTTTTTATTCCTGTACCTGCCAAGACAGGGACTTGGTTAGAGTCACTGTGGTATGCCCTGCCTATGGTACAATGCCTGACTCATCATTATAATGTAGTTGCTCAAGGAATTTAACTGAGATCAAAGGAGATGATGGAAGCATAGAATCATCAGTAAAGAGAAGCCAGCCCCAGCAGCCTGCACATGGCAGCTCTGGACAAGTCTCCCCCTTGTGGCTAAGCCCTACAGACCACATGTGTATTCTCAAATGCCTAAAGACAGTTATGATTACAACCTCTCAGCGTTTTGACACTTCTGGACCCCAAGTACTTCCTAAATCCCATTCTCCATCTTGAAGGTAGGAGATGGTGATTGTGTAGCGTGGTAGTATCCATGATACATGATCCCCACACACGTTCAGTCTATAATGAAATGAGCTATGTTCATGAAGAATTTAGATAGCAAAGGGTGAATAAAATGTACTGATTAGCTTGATTTCTTAAGACCCTTTCAATTGTGGACAATAGAAATCTAATTCCAGCTGACTGGAAAGCAACAATTGGAGTTCACATCTCATAGAAATAAGGTCAAATGTATACTGACTTCAGGTGTGGTCTGCCTCCAGAGACCTAAAGATGTTCACAGTACAGAATTCTCTCTATCTCTCTTTCCCTCTGTCTCTCTCTCACACTCTTTTTCTTTCTCTTTCTTCTGCTTCTCTAATAGACTTATTCTCAAGAAGACCTCTTCCCAAAAGAGGAAGAAAAGTAGATTATCAATAATGCCATATTTACATTCATTATACCGTTAGCAAGCCAATAGGATGAGGGAAGGGAAGATTTTACCTCAAAATCTCCAACTGAAGTCTCATGGTTGCCCTCGATTTGGCACGTTCTGGATCAATCATGAGCCAGGAAGTTCCAATCCTAGAGCCAGAGAAAAGCCCCTTGTGGCTCCAGAAAACCAAACTTTCAAAGGAAAATCTAGGCATTGCCACCGGTGAAGGCGTAGATGGAAGCCAAGAGATGATGACCAAACCGCACTTGCCTTGGTGTGAGGTACATGTGAATGGCCATGAATGTTCAGAGAAGAGGAATCACTTCTAGCTAGCAGGAAGTGTAATATATGAGTTTCATGTATCTGCACTGAAAACTTGAAAAAAAGGGGATAAGATTTGAAAAAGCAAAAGAGAGCTTGGGCAGAACAGTCAAGGAAGGGAAGTAGACAAGGATTGAACCATTTGCATCCTGTCTGGGAGCTCAAGTATGTGCGCAGGTGAAGCAGAGTCCCCGGATGGCAGAGGTGAACTCATCAAAAGCCATATCAGTAGGGTTCGGCATTGTTTTCTGGGCCTGACAGGTAAACAATGTCCTTGGAAAGTCACCACTCAGGGTTATTGAGTCTGGAAGCCTAAGTCAGCATTTTAGGGGACTCTGGAGCTTTCTCCGAGAACCTTTTAAAGAAGCCTAGCTGATTCTACCCACTCGTGTGGCCTCTACAGTCTGGTGGTTTGAGGCCAGCCCAGGCAGAGTGTTAGCAAAAGCCTATCTCAATCAATAAGCTTAGCATGATGACATGTACCTGTGATATCCACTGTGTGGGAGGTTGGACAATCATGATCTGCTCCAGCCTTGGGCAAAGAAAATAACAAAACAAAGATGGCAGAATAGGTCAGTTGAGTACCTGCCTAGAGAATAAATAAATAAATAATAAGTTCTTTGAGGCAAAGGGAAGAGAGTGGCTCTGGAGAATTTGTGACGTGAGGAAGAAGGTGAAGAGAAAAGGGAGAATGAAGGCTGACAGTCCAGAACAATAATAGGCGGACCTCACCAGGTGTGGATTCCCAAGCCCCCAATCCAGGGAACTTCTGATCCTGTAGATCTGAGGAGTCTGCATTTTTAATGAACTCTGCAAGTGTGGCCATAGGCTATTGCCTATGGACAATAGGACCTGGACCTCTCACAGGACTTTCACTCTGTCACTGGCCTTTGAACGTCCTCATCCTGTGTGCATTTCCTCTTGCAGGGATGGAGTCCCCTACTGCGAGGCTGACTACCATTCCCAGTTTGGCATTAAATGTGAGACTTGTGACCGATACATCAGCGGCAGGGTCTTGGAGGTGAGTGGGCCCAAGCGATCAAGGGGATGTACAAGCATGATGCTACAAGTCATCACCAAGGAGAGAAAGCCCTTTCCTCAACATTTCAACCTCCCCAGCCTGGCTTGCTACATGCCCTTGAACAGATAACTTTGATCTCTGAGCACCCCCAAAATGAGATGGACAGAATTATTCTTGGTTCAACAATTGCTATGCTGGAAAAACAGTTGCTTCTTGGGATTCAGACCCCGACAGATTTCTAGGGAGTGACAATTAGGATTTTCCTCTCAGTCCCTGCCTAAGGATAGAAAACCCCCTCTTTTTTTTTTTTTAAGTATTTGGTAATGTGTTGATTTAAGAACCAGCTTGTCTAGCAGCTTGCTCCCTGAGCCCTTCTTTGGCTGGTCCATCACCATGGCAACCACTCTCCTCATTCTCCATTATACAAGCTCACTTTGCCAGTGTCAGACAACCTCAGTCCCTTGCTGGGCCCGTGGCCTCCCTGGCTTTCCTTCCTTCCATTCTGTCTTTCTTTCTTTCTTTCTTTCTTTCTTTCTTTCTTTCTTTCTTTCTTTCTTTCTTTCTTTCTTTTCTTTCTTCCTTTCTTTTTTTGTACTTTTTTTATTGTGAAAATACTGTACAGAGGGGTGACAGTTACATGAGCAAGGTAATGAGTACATTTCCTAACGGGCATTGTTGCCTCTTCCTTTGATTTTTCCCTACCATCCCTTCCCTCCCACCTCCACAACTACATCCCCCACACCCCCACCCCCTCCACCCCAACCCCTGCCAAAGTTGTAAAATTCGTTTTCAACATAGTGTCTTGTACATCTCATTGTTACAATGGGTCAAACTATATCCCTATTTAAGCATTTTGTTTTTTCCCTTCCCCTCCCCGAATTAGAGAAGTGTATATACAAGATGCAGGGCACCAACATCAAATACAGTGAAAATAGGGGTTATACTGTGAGGGAGGGACATACAAAGAAACAAAAAAAAAATCACATGGTACATTATAAATGCGTTAGAAACAATAGCAAGAAAGAAAAAAATATTTGTGTCTCTATCTTGGGTTCATTTCACTTAACATGATCTTTTATAGTCATAAGTACATAGCTTTTGACCTTTTCTGCTTGTCCCAGACATATACTAGTTATTGCAAATAAGGGAAACCATGGGACCTATGTTTCTTTGGGCCTGGCTTACTTCACTTAGAATCATTTTTTCCAAGTCTTTCCATTTCCTAACAAATGGGGCAATGTCATTCTTTCTGATGGAGGTATAGAATTCACATATATATATATTACATTTTCTTGATCCATTCATCTACTGAGGGACATCTGGGTTGGTTCCATATCTTAGCTATGGTAAATAAGGCTGCAATAAACATAGTTGTGCTGGTAGCCTTAGTATGGCCTTGTTTGTGATCATTTGGTAAATGCCCAAAAGTAGGATTGCTGGGTCATAGAGGAGCTCTATGTGGAGTCTTTTGAGGAACCTCCATACTGCTTTCCAAAGTGGTTGAACAAGTTTATACTCCCATCAACAATGCAGTAAGGTTCCCTTCTGTCCACATCCCCTCCAGCATCTGTTGTTATTAGAGTTCTTGATTCTAGCCATTCTAACTGGGATGAGGTGGAATCTCAATGTTGTTTTGATTTGCATTTCTTTTATGGCTAGCGAGGTTGAGCATTTATTTCTTCATGTGTCTATTGGCCATTATTATTTCCTCTTCAGAGAAGTTTCTCTTTAAGTCTTTAGCCCACTTATTTATCAGATGGTTGTTTCTTTGAGGATTTGTTGTTGGGGGATTTAATTTTTTGAGTTCCAAGTATATTTTAGATATGAGACCCTTGTCTGTTGTATGAAGATCTTCTCCCAATCCGTGGGCTTTCTATTGATCTTGCTAGCTATGTCCTTTGCCATGCAGAAGCTCTGCAGCTTCATGCAATCCCATTTGTCCAAACTTTCTTTGATTTGTTTGTTTCTGGGTCTTTATTAAGAAAAATTTGGCCTGTGCCAAGGAGACCTAGAGTTTTTCCTATTCCTTCCTGTAATGTTTTCAGGGTGTCTGCTTTGACTTTGAGGTCTTTGATTCATTTGGAGTTGATTCTGGTACAGGGTGATATATAAGGATCTAGTAGCTTTAGTTTTCTATAGGTAATTTGCCAATTTTGCCAGCACCATTTACTGAAGAGGCTGTCTTTCTTCCATTCTAGTTTTTTAGCTCCCTTATCAAAGATTAGGTAGCTATATGCCTGTGGGCTCATTTCTGAGTTTTCAGTTCTATTCCATTGGTCCTCAGGTCTGTTCTTGTGCTAGTACCCAGCTGTTTTGATTTCTATGGCTTTGTAGTAGAGTTTGAAATTTGGTATTGATATTCCTCCAGCACTGTTCTTTAAGGATCGTTTTTGCTATTCAGGGTCTTTTATTGTTCCATATGAATTTTTGGATTGCTTCTTCTATTTCATTGAGGAAAGAAGTTGGAATATTAATAAGTATTGCATTGAATTTGTAGATAGCCTTGGGAAGTATTGCCATTTTCACGATGTAGATCCTTCCAATCCAGGAGCATGGAAGGTTTTTCAACTTCCTAAGTTCTGCTCTGATTTTCTTTTTCAGGTTTTTAAAGTTTTCATCATAGAGGTCCTTCACTTCTTTAGTTAACTCCTAGATATTTTATTTTTTGTGGGGCTATTACGGCTGATTTCAGCCACACTCTTCTCATTGTTGGCATACAGAAAAGCCATTGATTTTTGAGGGTTAATTTTATACCCTGCTACTTTGCCAAAGTTTCAAATCAGCTCAAGTAATTTTGGAGTGGAGTCCATGGGATTCTTTAAAAACAAGATCATGTCATCTGCAAACAGGGAGAATTTTCCTTTCTATGCTCTCTGGGCTGGAAGCTGCTTTTCCATACATAGTTAGGACCCACCTACATTGAAGAATAAAAAACAAGAAAACAATAATAGTACAGGGGTAGGAACAATTGGGATCTAGCACTGATAACTCATACTTGGATTTTGAGTGTGGATCTTTGCATCTCTAGCCCTCTGTTTTTCATCTATCAGTGGCTGATGAATGGCAAGCTGGGTAAGCCACTGTAAATAGAATCATCAGTTCTGCACAATCTGATTGTTTAGTTCTGGTTACCATGATTGCTGAGTTGAGAAGGATTCTTTGGCCACAGGTAGTTTAGCAGGAGAGAATATAGCAACTAGGACAAAAACTGCTTGAGGAGATGCATTGAAGCAGAGCCCTGAGAATGAAGAGGCCAGCTGGGAAGAGCTAGGAGCTCAACTCCTTTGGGAAACAGAAAGAAAGCCAGCATGGCTTAATTTTATAAATTGATGGTGTAGGAATATGGAATATTATCATAGAGGACATATTTCATATGACTTTGTACACCATGTTTAGAAGCTTGGATTTTTACTCCACATGTAATGGAAAGCCAATGGAGAGTTTTAAACCAAGGAACAGCCTGGTCTGATTATATATTTAAAAGATTGTACTAGCTATTATGTACAGAACTGATTGTAGGGAGTCAAGAGAGAATATGATGAACAAATACACCAAACTGCTAAACTATGAAGCATCTCTAAGAAGCAACCCAAAGGATAAGGCATGAGCTTTATCTTGGGCTCAGATTCCCAAGGACCTGAGATACCAGGTTGGGAGTAGGTGATTCACCAGGCAAAGGAGAGTCATAGAAACATTGGACAGGACTGTCTGCTTAGAGCTGCATCTCAAGGAAGATGGTGTTATCATGCTCATAGGCTAGATCTGAAGGACAGAAACCAGAAGAGGAGCTAAGCAATAGTGACTCTTCTAGCTGCTCAGGACGATGAGATCTGAGGACTTTGAGTCCATGAGATTTTTAACTCCAATTAACCACCAAATCCAAAAGTGGGACTGTGGCTCAAGTGGTAGAGCACCAATGTGAGTGAAAAAGCTAAGTAAGGGACAATGCACAGACCAGAGTTCAAGCCTCAGTACTGGAACTGGCATATGCACATGCATGCACGCACGTGCACACGCGCACACACACACACACACACACACAATCCTAGAAGATAAAACTAATAAGGAAGCCAGTGCATGACACCTGTCTTTGTCTCCAATATTATGGAAGCAACTTGTAAATGTGGGAACTGAGAAGAGACCAAAAGTTGTAGCAAAAAAAAAAAAAAAATCAAGCCTGGGCCATAAGAAGTGTGGTGTCACCATTTGCAGAACTAGAGATGGCAGAGAAGAACTTTGATTACACCCAGAGCCACAGATTAAACACAGAGCTGCAATACTTCCTAGCTGCTTTGAAATTCTGTAGTGGTGACTGCCTTTTCTAGCAGTAGTCACTTCTTTAGACTGGGTTTCAATTAATCCCATTTGTAGAGGCTCCATTAGCATCTTGGACCTATTGGGTTTTTTTTTTCCTTTTCTTTTTAGAGCTGGAAGAGATTTTTAACAGTCCACTAGTTCAACTTCCTCATTTTACAGATGAGAAAAGTGAGAGCCAAGACATGAAGTACCTTTCTGCTGGTATAGGCAGTATTTTTGGTAGAGACAGGGAAATATTTGGGACTCCAGGATCCTGTATCCCAACCCTGACATGGCTCTCAGACACTTAAGAGTCTTTGAGGTAGCATAATGTCAGAGGGGGAAAAAAAGTATGGCTGTGATGAAAAAGACTTAGATTCAAGTTTTGCCACTTCTAGCCCTGCAACTTCAAGCAATTTATTTTCCCCAAAACTTTTATCTGTCAAATACTACTGTCCTTTCATTCCTGATGAATATGTTAGTCATGACTTTTTTGGTTGCAAATGGCACTGGCTGAAAAGGAAAACTGCTCCTATAATAAATAGTCTATGAATAGTTCTGGCTTCAGGCACAGCTGGATTCAGTGCCTAAATAAAATCCCTTGGAATCATTGGCCATCTTGGCTCCACACATTGGCTCTATTCTCAAAAAGTGTCTTCTTTGTGATAGAAACATTAGACCCCAATCACTCCAGCTAATATCTCCAGTGGAAAACAAACTTCCGTTTCCTGATCATCTAGGATCCGCTCTGGGTGACTCGGAAGCATCCCTGAACCAATAGTTTCACCTAGAGTAGGAATAGCTGAATTAGTGCAGTCTGCACAACTTAAACATATGGACTGACGGGGCTTAGGGCCATTTATGGAAGAAGAGAAAGGATGTGGGCCAGGTCACTGGTACACCACAGGCACTCACCTAAATCATTTCTCTTCTCCTTCCAACCTTTCCCATTCCCTCCTTAGGCCATCTCACCATCCATTCTTCGGGGACAGAATGCAATATACAAAGTATCAGTCACCATCCTTCTTTGTCCAAATCCTCACCAAAAAGAACCATGACATGGTCTTGTTATATTTCCTGACTTTATTTGCCATTCTTCATCTTCTCCAATATGATTCCAGTTTACAGATACCAATTTCTTGCTATTTTTCTTCACTATTTGTTTTGACACAAGACTTTATTAGCCTGTGAAATGGTTCCTCTTCTCTTGTTAATTATGTCTTTTTCACAGGCTGGGTCATTATCTACACCATGCGTGGCCAGGGCCTCTTCCAGCTGCAGTGGGGTAGTGGGGAGTAGCATTTAGGAAGACGTTATGCTTCAGTTTTGCTGCCACCCTAGGGGTGGGGGTGGGGGTGGGGTCGCGGGAGAAGGTCTATAATTGAAATGATAAAAAGACACTGAGTAGGAAGAGGCTACTAATTAAACTGATTATCCTTGTCATGGTAGGAGAGTCTCAGTCCCACGGGTTCCCAGCTTGGGAAAATAGCAGGCTTCTTCTAACGTTTGAGTATAGTTTGCTTGGATGATGACAGGGATATTTCCTCATTGGTGGGAGTCACATAAACAACCAAAACTGGAAGAAAATAAAAAGAAAGAAAGAAGGAAAGGTATTACCATTTTTTTCTTTGGTGACAATCTGACCTTTTCCCATTCTCCTTGTTTTTAGAATAAAGTAAGCTATTCCAGAATAAGCAAGCTCATCCCAACAACTTCACACCACAAAAAATAAAAACATTTGGAAATAGGTTTTATTTACTCAATTATAATTTTTAAATTGGAACACATTAGTATCAGACCAAGTGGTCTTCCAGCCCACCAGTAGCCATCAATTCCACACCCCCATGAGAAAATCCTCCACCTGCCCTGACATACAAAACACTCCTTCAGAACAATTCCCCTCTTCCAACCTGATCTCTCTACCATCACCATACCCATATAGAAATTCCGGAGCCAAGGCCACCAAAGGATGCTTACATGTCAGATTCTCTGAAATAGGTTTCTAATGTTGGCGTTGACAGCATAGAAATGTGTTGGGTTCGTCCATTTCTAGCTCCCACATACCAGGCCCAACACTACTGCTGGCTTCCAGTGAGACTTTGAGGCACAATAGTCCCAGAGGCTCTCCTCACCATACTAGGGTTTGAATTCGAGGGCTCAAGCTTATTAGGCAACTGTTCTAATGCTGAGCCATGCCTCCTGACCTTTTTTGCACTGGTTATTTCAAATCAGGGTCACACTTCTTGTCCAAGTATCATAAAGGGAATAATAGGTAGGGGTCACCATGCCCAGCTCCTTTGGTTGAGCCAGAGTCTCACAGGCTGCCACCCAGGCTTCCCTGGAGTTTATTCATCTCCATCTCAGCCTCCCAAGTGGCTTGGATTACAGGTATGAGCTACCAGCCCTAGGATCCCATTTTTAATTTAAGTAGTAATGAGAGATAGCAGTGGGAAAAGGGAAAGGAACTAACCAAATCCACCTCAGGATGGGCTGGACTCAGGGCTGAAGCACCTGTCTGCAACCATCAGGCCTGAGGGTTAGGGGCTCTCCAGAAAGACCGAGCTGTCTCAGTGCAAAAATTTGTACAGGAGCCCTAAAAACCTGTTCTTCATATGACAGTCTCAACTTTGGCCTAATCTGTGAGTCTCATATACTCGGTGTTACCTAATTCTTTAAGTTGTCACTAAGTCAACTCACTTACATAGAAGAAAACTTGCATAACATAACAAGCAAACCTATATCACTTACCATATTGCAAGTAACCCCAAAATATAGTAATTCTAGCTAGATTCTATTGCTCCAAGCCTCTTGCCTCTTCTTATTCTTTAAAAAATAGAGTAAAGCTGAGTGTGTTCACATATGCCTGTAATCCCAGCACACAAGAGGCAGACGCAGTACCTAGCAAGGTCATGGCCAACTTGAGCTATGTAGTGAGACTCTGTCTCAAGAAACCACTAAAGGCCAAGGATTCACAAAACTTAGTAGGAGAGCACTGCCTAGTATGCACGAGGCTCTAGGTTTGATCCACAACACCACAAAAAATGAGAGGGGGGACAAAAGAAGGGAAAGAGAGAGAGACAGAGAGAGAGAAAGAGACAGAGAGGCAGAGAGACAGAGAGATAGATGAGCACATTTTGGATACATGTTACAGATACAAACTGTTACTTTATACTTGATAAAATCAGAAGAATCGGTAGAGGATCTTTAAAAGAGGAGGCCAAATTGGGGTTTGAACTCAGGGCCTCACACTCACTCAGCTTGCTTGCTGAGCTGGCATTTTACCACTTGAGCCCATACCCCCAGTACTGCTTTTTATGGGTTATTTTGGAGATGGAGTCTCACAGACTTTTCTTCCTAGTCTGACTTTGAAGCTTTCTCTTCTGGACCTCAGCCTCCTGAGCAGCTAGGATTATAGCTGTGAGCCACTAGCACCTTGTAAGAACTTTTTTTTCATTGATCCAATGCCATTAAATTCCAAAGTTCATGTAACGTTTCTAGTCACTGCAAGTTCCACGAAGGGGTAAGGAACCCATACTTGGAGGATGCTAGGATCTCTTCAAAGTCACTCATCTCCTCATATAGCTATCAAGGAAGTCCTCAAAGCTGCTATCAAGGACATAGAAAAATTCCCAGGCTTCTTGGGTGGACTTTTGTATGATACTGGATTTCCCCATCTCCTGTCAGGCTCCCAACCAATCAGTCATAAAGACACAAACAACACTAATGTACCTAGGAAATGTTTTCACCCAACGTGGCTCCATTGGACAATAGCCCCAGGTCTGACCTTGTTTCACCTCTTGATTTCTGTAGGCAGGAGGGAAGCACTACCACCCTACCTGTGCCAGATGTGTGCGCTGCCACCAGATGTTTACTGAAGGGGAAGAGATGTACCTCACAGGTAAGCAAATCTGAACTCCTCTGTAAGGCACTCAGATCCACTCATGACTGGAAAACAGACATGATCTCCTTCTATTTCCTTGTTATCTTTGCCATTGGCTTGTCCTCAGAATTGCAATTAATTTGACTCTCTCTGAGTAGATGGGGAAAGCTGCTGGCATGACTAATATGAAGTGACATGTAATCTGCCTTCCATCCCAGCCCACCCACTGCTGGGCTGGCCTGGTTCCTTGGCAGTGCTCTGAGCAAACTCCCTTGGCTCTGCCTAGAAGCAGGAGGCTGAGTTGCACAGGGCCAAAGGGCCAGAGATCCTGAGAGGGAAGCTTGGGCTGCAGAGTCTACAGCATCACAGCCTACCCCCCATTCCCTCATTCCTTCTCCTCAACTTTGCATCAGGCCAGCAGTTGGTACTCCCAGGCTATACAAAGAGGAGTGGAGGGCATCAATAGCCCCTCAAAGTGAACAAGCACTGCTTCCCCTCTGCTTCTTCTTCCCCTCTGTTTCCTCCCAGAGTCCAACCCCTTGTCCCAGGGTTCCTATAACAGTCACCTATCTAGTCTGAAGATCCACTTAGTCTTCTATCTTCCACCCAGCCTGAGCCTTATCCCAGCACATCACAGTGCTCTTGGCTGGGCTTCTCTCTGTCCATCAGTTTAGGTTCAAAGTAAACTCTTTTAAACTCATTGGAAGGACATAGCACCAAAACCCCACATACCCTTTCTAGCCTTGAACCAACCTAACAATTAGGCTGCCAAATCCAACCTTCAATCCACATAGGCCTTCAGAAACTATTTCTGGACCCCATTCTCATGCACAGACTCTGTGAGAAAGCCCATTGTGAGACAGCACTACCACCCTCCTGGCCAGAGAAGGAGGTGGGCCTTAGCCAATCATCACATGAATGTCAGCCACAATGGGTGTCATGAAGGGGAGAAGGATGTCGTGGAGGAGTGCTAAGGAAGACTCACTCCCTGAGGACCAGCCAGGAGCTGAGATCCTGAAGAGCCAGTATTAACTAGCAGGCATCTGGGTCCCTTAGGGCTGCTGAAACAAACTCCCATAGGCCAGGTGGCATATAAACAAAGAAAGAAACAAAACTTACTGCCCATCAGAGACAGGACAATCCACAATCAAGACATCAGCAGATATTCTGGACATGATGATATCCCGTTTCTTATAGACACTACCTCCTTGCTGTGTCCTCGCGTGCATGGCAGCCCCTTGGGACCTATCTTATAAGGACACTATTTTTGTCATGAAGCTCTGCTCTCATGACATAATCACCTCCCAAAAGGCCCTGACCTACTAATTCAGTCACAAGGAAGGTAGGATTTCAACATATAGAGCCTTCATACCATAGCACCAAGACAAAGAGAGGAAGAATGGAGGAATGGGGCATACCAGCCTGAGGGGACAGGGTCTGTAAACCTCTAAGGTGGGTAAAGAAATAGTAAACGTGTGAGAGCCAGAGACGCTATGTGGCCTGGGTGCAGACACATGAAAAGGAAGAGTCTTGAAGACCAGTGCAGTCCAGGCTGAGATAAACTCATGGTCCTTCCTCTCCCCTTCTTGCATCCCGCTTTGGAAATTCTACGATCCTAGATGCCTTCATTCACTACATGCTTCATAGCATACTCCCCTGCTCCCAGCTCTTCATTTGCACCTGATCCCCTCCAGCATGCCTAAGAGTTGCTGGACTCTCTTGAGACCCCTTGCTTCTGACCTTGACCTTTCATCTCCGACCACGGCTCTGCCTTCCTTCACTCACGGCTGATCTTCATTGGTTGGATCGTTATGATTAGCCCTGCCTAGATGGTTGAAGAGTGTTTTGGAGAGGAATGAGAGCCCTTCTGGGTTTTTCCTGAAGGCAATCAGCAACCATTTAGAGGGAGTGTGTCTTCCTAAGAAGCTTGTCCTCACCACAGATGCCCACAACCTTGACTTCCTTCCAGCTGTGACCCAGGTGTCTAGAACAGAATTTCTCAACCTCCACACTGTTGACATCTGGGATGATTTGCCCTGTGCATTGTATGACATTTAGTAGCATTCCCTAGTCTCTACCCACTAGATATAAGGATGTATCTTTCCCAGGGCAACACCAAAAACTGTCTCAGATATTTCTAGAGTCCCTTAGAGGAGGGGCTAAATCATCCCTAGCTGAGAATGACTTATCCAGAAATAATCAACAGAAACTTCTACTGTTAATTGGGAATGCTCAACAGAGGGCCTCCTGATGGGATGGACTGGGGAACCATTTCTAAGAATTTGCAACTCTGCACCTTCCTACTTGGATGTACTGTTGTATATGTATGGGGGGATAGAAAGATCCCAGGGGTCACTCCAAACCCTAAGTGACTTTCTTTGTTGTATAGAGGAGGAAAATTAGTGTGGAGAAAGAAGTCTTGAGTGTGAACCAGAGCCTTCAGGAACAAAGCAGAGTCTGGCCTTTAGCCTCCTCTCTGGGGCTCTGTATATCTTCCTTCCTGGGACCCAGGCCCCAGATGTCACTCAACTCCCTAACACCCCACACACACCAGTGTTCTGGTCCTAAAGACATGCCAAATGCATGTCTTCATGGACCCCATCTACAGTGGAAATCTGCTGTTGGCATTTGTGTTGAAAATTTGCCAAAGTGATCACACCTCCTAATGTGAAGCCTGCCTTCATGCCCACGTTCCTTCCTGCACATCAGTGGAATTACCAGCAGCTTCATCTTCCTGCCTGAATTCCTGGTCCTCACCTTTCCCTATTAGCACCTTTGACCCAGACTTCCTCCAGTTGAGTCTACTGAGTACTGCTAACTAAGTTTTTGATCTTGAAAAAGTCTATTAACTGTCTTAACATTAAATACCTCATCCGTAAGATAGACTACTAAGTCTCTGTAAAATACAGGCAGAGTAAATTCCTGATTTGTGGGGAACTTCCTGTGTGGTTTGGTTTGTTTGTTTGCTTTTTGGTGTTTCTGTTATTGTTGTTTTGTGCCAGGATTGGGATTTGAACTCAGGGTTTGGGTTTCTGGATCTTTAGCTTTTTCACTCAAGACTAGAGCCACAACTCCACTTTTAGCTTTTTGGAAATTAATTGGAGATAAGAGTCTCACGGACTTTCCTGCAAGGGCTTGTTCTGAACTGCAGTCCTCAGATCTCAGCCTCCTAAGTAGCAAGGATTACAGGCATGAGCCACAGGCACCCTGCCCCCTCAGTGTTTATTGAGAAAATGTCTTTTGAGTAGTTGGTATGTGCCCAGTGCTGTTCTAACAAATGAAGATGCAACCAGCAGGGAGTATATCAGACAGGCCCCTACCCGCTTAGGGAGCTCATAGCTATGGACTAGCATCTTGCCTCACTCAGCTTCACACAGATGCTGAAGAGTTAAGTGACAAAGTTGAGTGAACTGTTTTGTGATCATGAGAGAGAAGGCACTATCAAACCTCAGGCAGAAATGCTTCTGCGAGGTAGGAGATATTCTTGGTAGTGAGGAGGGGCCTGTCATCCCCTCATTAATTATACTCATCCCTCCTCTCCTGGCTCCTGGGAGAGTGGGTGTAATTGTAGGGCACTCAAGGACCTGCCTCGAGGGATGCTGAGTGATCGTGGAATCCGAGGGCTCGGGCTGTGCAAAGCTAGTCATGCTGACTCTGGCTGTGGGTGTTTGTGAGGAGGTGGCAGCCACTACAGGTTTCAGCTACCAGTGAGAGCTGAGCCTGGACACGTTTACAAGGCAGAAGCACCAGGACTCAAATGTATGTCTTTCAGCAATGGCAAGAAAACCTCCCTGCTAAGACAACCCAGGAATAAAAGGAGCCCACTGGAAGCCAGGACTCCTGGGTTCAAGTATCAGAATTTCACTGCTGGGTATTAAAATTACTTCCCCCTCTGCAGATCTCTCTTCTCCAGTCAACTGAGGGGAATAGCACTGTCTCCCATTGATCCATTCTAGTAGAAGCCACACTATGTTCCAGGCCTACTGTGATAGGGCAATTTCTCAGAGATGAGCATGTGAGATGGTTTTGCTGTCCTCATGGACTTTACCCTCAGGAAGAAGACACTGACATTAACCAAACAGAAGTTAAAGCTCTCATGGCTAACTGCAAAAGGCACTGTAAATGGATAGAGCTGGAATAAATTAGATGGAAATGGATAGACCTGGAATGAATTTTGTTAAATAAAGTCACACTCAAAGAAATAAAGGTAGCGTGTTTTCTCACACATGTGCTAGTTAGAGCTAATTAATAAACATACATGAAAATGCATACATATTAACTAAAACATGGTATATGTAGGGGAGGCTTATAATGGTGTATTTTCTTTGAACAACTAACTTGCAGTATAACCAAATGAATAGCAGGAAGCTGGAACATGTGTTGCCAGGGGGTAGTTGGTGAGATCAAGGGCATGAGCAGGCAAATGAAGAAAGAAAGGGTAGGCAAATGAAGTCACAATATTCAGTGTACATACGTGAAAATGGAACCAAATAATTTGAGGGGATAGGTGGACTTAGGAACATTGGAGGAGAATAATGGGAGGGATGACATTGATCAAGATGCATTATACTCATGTTGAATTGAAATATCTTTGTACAACTACTTAGAGCTAATAGTAATAGTAATAACAGTAGTAGTAGCAATAGTAGTAATAGTACATAGTAGTAATAGTAGTAGCAATAGCAGTAGCAGTAGCAGCAGCAGCAGCAGCAGCAGTAGTAGTAAAGAAGGGCCTTGATTTAGTCCGAGAGACCCTGTCAAAGGGATATTTCAAGCCAAGATCTCAAAGATATACAGGAGGCAGGAGGGTGCTGAAGGAGGGCCAATGAGGAAGCAATGAGAACAGCAGGAGCAATGACCACTGGTGGCAGGGAGCATCACATACCAGGCGCACAGAGAGCCACATACCAGGTTCACAGAGAGCAAGCACACACCACATGGATGTCGTGAATAGTAGAAAGAATGAGCAGGCCCGGAGGACTTCACAAAGCAATGCATTAAAGGTGGGGTAGTTGGGA